CTCCCTCCCTCTCATCCTCTCTCTGCCTCTTCATCTTCCTCTTCCTCTCCCTCTCCTCGTTTTTCTTGCCTCTCCTTTTCTTTGAATTCCTTTCTCCGCCCTCCTCGTCACTGTCCTCGTTCACTAGTTCCCTTCCTCTTCCACTTACCGAGGATGGGGACTCGGGGAGAGGACGGGAAGAAGCTTCTCAACCTCGCTCTGCGTGCTGCTGTTACTCGAGCGCCTTCACCCATCTCCTCCTCCTGCCTGCATCCGGCGCACTGTAGCAGCTGTGTTGGGAGGCATGTGACAAACTCCTGGGGCAGCACACCATTCAGTCGTTCCCTCCCAGTGCAAACACAGCAAGATGAAAGAATAATCGGATCATTCCTTGCTACAAATGAGTTTCCTTAACGCTCCTCCCCCGCCTCTCCTCCTCCTCCTCCCCTCCTCTCCTCCCCTTCTCTCCTCCTCCTCCTCTCCTCCTCCTTCTCCTCCTTCTCTTCTCCGGACTCTGTCTGATCACGTTCGTTAGTCAATTCTACCGAGATAACGTCATTGTGCATCCCCCCCCCTCTCCCTCCCCTTCCTCTTGTCTCCCTCGCAAGTTTCTTCATTTGCACGTGTAGTTTGTGCCCCCATCCCCTCTCTGTCGCGTTCGGCCGCGGGCCCTGCGCGGGCCCACTGACACAGTGAGCTCGGCGGCCCGGCCCGGCGGGCCGGCAGCCTGGCCCTGCGGCAACTTGAACGTGCCTTAGTAGGGCGGCCTTGAAGCCCGGCTCCGAAGCCCGGCCGGGTCCCCGCGCACTCCGGTGATAGAGCGGCGCTGCGGGCCTTACCCGCCGCTGAGGGCCAGCCCGGCCAGCCTGGCAGGTCCGCTGAGTCCCGGTCCCGGCCGGGGCCTCCGCCGCGCCGAGTCACCCGGGCCCGGCGCATTGTTCCGATCGGACGCCCGGCCAGTACCGTACGGCCCGTGGATCCCCGGGGGCCGACCGTAACGCCGGGGCCGTGGGGGAAGTTGGTGAGGGTGGCAAGCCTCTGAGGCCGCTCAGTATTCTCCTGATTGTCCTCGTACTGATTTTAACTTAACTTTGAGTAAATACATCCCTCGTACATGTCCGATCTCGAAGGCCGCAGTTCAGCTAGCCTAGCCTAGTACGGTTGAAAATTGAAGTATCATATCATATCATATCATATCATATCATATCATATCATATCATCTCATATCATCTCATATCATATCATCTCATATCATCTCATCTCATCTCATCTCATCTCATCTCATCTCATCTCATCTCATCTCATCTCTTCTCATCTCATCTCATCTCATATCATATCATATCATATCACCTGCACTATCTTCTCCTGAGGACGGGATAGTTTTTTAGCACAAGAAGGATTAGAGATGCTTGATGCACACATGGCGACGAATGAAATGAATCCTACAAGATATCTGGTTCTAGGCCTGGCCTTCTCTTGGTTTGCAGCTCTGGTTGCCCCTTGTCATGGCTTCGGGATCCCGCGCTTGATCGGAATCGTCTCATGCCTGGTTGCAC